AAATCCTCAGCCGTCCAGTCCCTATGAGTTGTAGCCTATGTCAATCTCTTAGCCACATGATCAGGCTTTAGCCTAGGTCTTGACTTAGCTATCTATTTTATAATGTTTGCTTCTCTGAGTACCCGGTCCACTATGCAGGCAAATTTAGTAGACAATCATATCCAGTCACTCTGGGTAGTACAAAGAGTTACCAGTATCAAGAGAAACACTGGGTGCATAGCGATCCCTGAAGGAGTATCTGGTCATTTTCTAGTTGGACTTGACTGCCTGTATAATTGTGCGATGCTGTTGACCACTCAAAATGGGGGTGCGACTGGGGCGAGGGAGATTTTCAAGAGATTGGCCTTTACATGCCCGGACAAGAAAGCTCTTAACTGTTGTCCATAGGCGTCTAATAATTTGAGCTACTAAGGAAATGTTCTGGAGGCAGTTGAAGAAGGTGATTATCATGTCCTTCTCTGCAAGGCTCATTTCTCTCTTGGTGGTTTTAGGTAAGGGTCTTTTATTTGCGGCATACTTCGTATTTCCAGAATGCTTAACTATTGCTAAAAAAGGTAGAGGAAATTAATAAATTAATTAATTTGGTAAAGGAGGCTTCGGTGGGTGTAGATTTGTGAATGGTCACAGTTGTGATGGGGTGAACAGTCATGATCATCTTTACACTTTGTTGAAAGGTGGCATTTTGGCGAGGCAGCTTAGTCATCTGAGACCGGTTTCATGAATGCTTCTGCTGAGTGACTGTATATATATATAATGCTAAGAGCTTTCCAGTAGCTAGCACTGATGGTTGTTGTTGTTGTTGTCACTTATAATTCTTATCACATAATTGCTTTCTACCACACATCTATGCTTTGATCCCGGAATCGGTGATTCCACGCGCACTACACCTATAGTCATTGTTCTACCTACGATTGATCTATTATGTCTTGAGAGTATTGCTATTAAAAACTGATACCTTAATAGATACAAAACTAACTCTGTATTGAGAGCAATACTGCAACCAATCTTAAAACAAACTCAGTGTTGGGAGTAGTACTGCAATCAAATATAAACTAAATTTAGTTTTAAAAGTGATTTTGTAATTAAATGTCAAACCAACTCTTTATCAAAAGCAATACTGGGATTAAACAAATCCAATATCAAAAGTGAGACTGTAATCAAATATAAAACAAACTCAACTAATCAAGTACCTATACTGGTTACAAGAGATAGAAATATAGGTACGTTATAAAAGGTGTAAATTTATACAAATGAACTAACTAGTTAACTGAAATAAAGATAGTCAATTGAGTAAGAGAATAAATTAGTAAATAAGTGAATAGCCAAATGACCAAATAACTGAGTGAACAACTAAATAAGTAACCAAATTATAAAACTGATGGATAATTACTAAATACAAAGTCTGGCCGATTATGGCCAAATAAAAGAACAATATAAAAATAAGTAAAAATGAAAATGTAGTAGGGGCTTACTCTAGCAAGATGGATTCCAAAGTTGTGACTGTACAGAGATCAATTCTTCTTGGAACAAATATAATAAAATTTCAACTTCTTAGCAGTAGAGTTTAAAGAAACAAAATGGTAAACTTAATATCATTAAGCAACAGCTTTACTCAAGTAAGTTCTGATCTCAAGAGGTAGTTGATTGCTAGAGTAGAGGAGAACTTGCATATAATTAAGTAGATTTCATATAATGCCAGTTGCTCCCCATTACTACTGTGTGTTAGCAAGCCCCCAACTCCCTTAGGCTGTCTAGCTACCCTCCACAGATTGAACCTAAGATTCTCTGTAGCTAACTAGACTAGCCCCTGCATTTACAATGCAACTGCAGGAGTCAAATATCTTCTTATCGTCGACATCTCAGTAGCAAGCTGTTATACCCAAGTGGATGCAATAACAACTATAGAACTCTCTACCCGTATACACTTAGTCTTCTACAAGCATCTGCAGCCCCTGAAAATCAATCCAGTTCTACTCTATTCCAGATCATTCCGGACAATAGCCATGTAGCTTCTCCGAGATACTCCTTCAGAGTTTGACTACCAATAGGTGCTCCCCATAGTCAACCCTCCTAGAAGTAAGTTTTATTGTAATCTCACACTAATGTCTTAGAGTCCTTCACTCTTCTCTAATACTATTACACTTTCAGGGCAATGGACTTCGAGTACCTCACTTGTAGGCTTCCAGTTACCCCTCATACTACTTCTAACTTCGAAGCAGTATTACCCCATCTGTTGTAGTCAATTTTGCACGAAACTACCTGGAAATCTTTCTCCAAGTTCCCCTCTACCCCCTCATGTATTCTGCAGACAGCTTTCAGTTGACTGGATGGCGTGAGCATATACGGTGTTTCAGGAGCATCTCCACTAGTAGACTTTTACTAGACTAATGGCAACTCCCCAGGCTGTGCCTCATAATGGTAGATACTTATAACGGAACTAGAGAGAGGTGTTAGCCACCAGACCTCCAAGTTACAGCTTGCTCAGAGCTCTACTAGTTGTGCAAGAATGATTATCACAACCTGAGATTCAAATACCTTATGTAGTTTCACAAAACAAATAATCTATTAACTTCCCCTGATGCCCTGAGTAACAAGTTACTTTCAAGCTAGAGTAACTTGGCTCAATAGCAGGGTAACCCACAGTCCAAGATAAGGTAACTCTGGTCTGAAGGTAGGGTAACTCTACCTGGACTCACCGTTGAGCAATTCAGGATAATTCCTAAATTGATAACTTGGATTACTCTACCCAGTAGGATAACTACCACTCCTCACTAGTACCTATATAATTCTTAGTATAGTATAGCATGTCCAAATGAGGTATCTAACTAACAGTACCTCTACCCGGTAGACTCTGGTCTACTACTATTCCTACTGTGTGAGTCTCTTAATACTGGTATGGGTATAGGTTTGGCTAACTGTAATAGTATTCCATAGAGTCTTGTTACAGAAAATAATGTGGTTAGTAATAGTTTGAATATGTAAGAGGACAGTTAAACAATAGTGACAGATAGTTGTAGAGTATCTAGAGTATGCTGAGCATGTTCTGAATATGTCATATATATTTAAACATATCTGACAGGTTCTGAGAATATTGGATGGTATTGTAGGCATGTTAACTAATGCCGTAGACCTGATGATCAGCTATTTTCCACTGGTGAGAGGATAAATACTACCATAGGAATAGAATTATAATATTATGTAAGTTGGTTGGGGGGCAGATACTGATGGGGGGATAGAAGTATTGTGGGTTAGTAGGAAGATGTTTACTAATTTAAATAGGAGAAAATCATATAAGAATAGGTAGGATGGAAATATAGGTAGACAGGTAGGAGGCCATCTTCTAATATAGATAGGAGAAAGCTACTTTCTTTCATGCATTATCTTTTGGTAATTTGCAATAATTTCAAAGCAATAACAATCTCAAAAGAGAAGTCATAGTACTGTAAATCTATGTTGTTTTCACTAACCTAGATTTCCTTTATGAAGGCTACATTGATACTAGTTGTTCATTTTCAGAAAATAGGAAGTAGTATTAGGGTACTGATTTGGAAATCTATGATGTAAATTAGATCTAATAATCGAAGTCATGTTCTAATATTATAATATCATTTACTTTTCCCTCTGCTTGCTCCTTTACCCACTTGTTCGTCATTGCAAATACACATATAAGATAATGGTGTTAAGCAAGTTCACTTCTGGTATCATATAAAGTCCAAAAACCTTCTCCTATTGAAAACAAGCGAAAGAGAACACGCAAAAAATACTCGCGAAAAAAACCATTGGACCTTACTAGGAGGTAACTCTAACGTCCTAGCACTAGACCTGATTATTTGAGTTCTTACAGTAAGCGATAGCTATACTGGGGTTAGGCGATGTTAATTATTCTACCACCCACTCACCTTCTAATGAAAGGAGTGGTAGGGGTAGCAGGCTGTCAAACTCTGTCTGCGTTTGCGGGTATGTGTCATATCGGATAGTTGTAGTACCGCATCACTAGGTAGATAGAGAAAATTGTTCACTTGTTATGGGTTTCAGGTCGTTCACCGTTCGGTGCACTGTTACCTTCTACGAGAGCTGGTGAGGTTGGAACGGAACCCTACAGCGTTGTACTGTACCGAATGCGGAAGAGAGAAGTAAAAAACCAGAGCCAGCAGAGCAGAGCAGCAAAACCCGATCCCTCTTGCTGGCTGACCAGAGAGTGGTCATGCGATCCCACTTAGCATTGGGAGTGATGGTAAACCGGTATTCTTGAGAGCTGCCCCTTTGGAAACAGTCTCCATGTAATCAGTGGTTGCTATAGGAAGGCGGATCTGAAATCGCCGTTACCGTACCACGACAGCGACTTTAGGATTCCCCGTTTGATTGGGCTGATGTGATGCATCTAGCTTAGTGGCGGGTAAAAGCAAGGATGCTAGAGCCTGATGTCACCCCAAATTGGCTCAAGGTTGTGGGATAGATAGCATAGGTTACTCTACTAGTACAAGCGCCGTTTCTCTCTGGGGAAACCGCCGGGCAATACAGATCTCCAACCAAAAACTCTAACGAGCTTTGTTTTCTAGGAAAGAATCCCGATACATACTCACAATTGTACTAGAGACTGGAGTACACTCCGTTTATCTCCCCTCCTTCCCCCCTTCCCGCTTTCCTTATTTGCGCACCGTTAATTTTTGTTAGTGGGATGGATAAGTGTATTGACGGATGGACGGATTGACGTCGAGGGTGGAGCCGGTCACCTACCAACACACCCTAACCATTCGATGGTTGTGTGGTATATAAGTATCTGAAGTCCCAAGTCTCCCTTTACTCCTAAGGCTGTTTTCTCTAATGTGAAAAGGAGCGAAATATTTTCAACCTTGCATGTGGCTGCATTTTTTTCCCTTCTTCCTCCTTTCTCCTCTTACATCCCGGCTCACGAACCACTACTGAACGGGCGATACCCGACAACCAGACCATTAACGAACAAACCAAGGAAGCTTGAGGAAAGATCAAAGAGATCAATCATGTCTAACGAAAAAGTTGAATACGATGGTGTGGACAGTCCGGAAGTCGTTACTCCCCCTCATGCTTCGTCAGTTGCAGAATCTGGGATCGATCCAATTTACGAGAGGAAAATCATGTATTTTTTTTTCAGATCTTTTCTTTGCACTTTTTTTATCCGCATGTCTAATCGATTTAATGATAATTTAGCCGCAAAGTTGACATTCGCCTCATTCCGATGCTTGCAGCCATCTATTCTGTTGCCATGGTTGACCGTACAAACATGTCTAATGCCGCGATAGCTGGTATGATGAAAGACCTGAAACTTTATATCGGAGATCGGTATTCCATCGCTCTGCTGGTGTTTTTCATCCCGGTGGGTAAATTTTTATCTATTTTTCTATGGGGGTTTAGGACGTGAATTGGCTAACCGGTATGCTGGACGGGTAGTATTTCCTTTTCGAACTTCCTAGCAACATTGTTCTCAGGAGGGTTGGCTCTGCAGTTTGGTTAGGCTCGATTGCGCTTGCCTGGGGGTCGGTGACTATTGGGATGGGGTTCATTGAAGATTGGAGGATATTAGTCTTCTCTCGTGTTCTGTTGGGGTTCTTTGAGGCAGGTAAGTTTCGCCTCTTCTAGCCAGATGAAGGGAAGGAAGGAACGGGGCTGATTTTTATTTACCTTTCTTTCGTTATGTAGGATTCTTTCCTGGATGTATCTACTTGATCTCCTCCTGGTATACCAGATATGAAGTGCAAAAACGGTATGAAATTCACCCCATCGCTTTCGTAAATTAATTTCTATAATATGATATAAGAAGTTAATAGCGTCATGATAGGCTTGCCGGATTCTACCTTCTCTCTACCTTTATTGGAGGACTCTCGCCAATTCTCGCTTATGGACTTATGCAGATGAACGGGGTCCAAGGACTTTCCGGGTGGCGGTGGATCCTTATAATCGCAAGTTCTAAGAAAGAGCAGTGTGTTTTTGATGAATTGCAGTGTTAACAGATACCATAGGAAGGTGTTACTACTGTTGCCGTTGCCCTACTGGCATACCTAGTCCTTATCGACTTCCCGGACAAGCTCCTCCAACGCCGCAGGCCATTCCTGACCGACTTTGACGTCGAAATTATCAAATCTCGTATCGACAGGGACCGTGACGATTCCCAGGCAGACCCCTTAACCTGGGGCGTAATAGGTGTCCATCTCATGGATTGGAAACTCTGGGCGTAGTGAGTTCCTTCCCCCTACTTACTTAATGCTTCACCTAAGCCGCACAAAGCTTATATTTCCCAAACAGCGCCTTACTGTTTATGAACGCCGCAGTCCCAGGGTATGCACTAGCTTACTTCCTACCCATCATCCTCAAGGGGATGGGATACTCAAAGGGCATGTCCCAGATCCTGTCCTCTCTCCCGTACATTCCAGCGATAGTGGTCGCCTTCCTCCTCGCCTGGTGCGCTGATAGGACTCGTCTCCGAGCCCCGTTTATCGTATTTGGCTGTCTTCTCGTTATCGCTGGGATGAGCGTCACAGCGTACGCTACCAGCAATTCCGCCCGCTACTTCGGTGTCTTCCTCGGCTTGGCTGGTGCGCAGAACAACATCCCGGCAGTGCTCGCCTACCAATCCAACAACATCCGCATGAACTCTAAGCGCAGTGTCGGCTCGGCATTACAAGTTGGCTTTGGCGCCATCGGAGGAGTCTTTGCCAGCACGGTGTATAGGCAGGAGGATAGCCCGAAATACCGTAATGGACTCTGGGCCACTATAGGGTGTCAACTCCTGACGTTGCTGTTATTAGCTTGCATGACGGTTTACTTTAAGAAAAAGAACAGACAGCATAAGGAGGATACTTTGGACAAGCCCATTGAGAACCACCCAGCGTTCACCTATACTATTTAGTTTATCTATTTCTTGGCTATTATGTTTTTCGGGGTTCGCGGGTGTTTACTTTTTGTATTTTTTTTATATCCGACTACTAGTTTTGTGGTCCAGAGGGGTCCTACTAAAAGAGAGGGCTACGCGTGCGGGTTTAGCCGGCTCACGAGCCTGCAAGATGGTTGCTGGAAACGTTTTCCTTGCTCTTTGGTGTGGTAACTTATTGGTGTGCTGCGGGGATGATGAAACCTTCCCTATTATTATACATAGTAAATTTAACGTTTCGAGATATAGAGCTGTCGACCGGACATGGGGTAGCATGCAGGAGTACCGTACTTGAGTACAGTACTATACCGTACGAGTAGATGGGCGCTCAGTGCGGGGTGACTTGTAGTGTAGGGTGCCAGGGGTTCTGGATATTATCTGCTTCTGCGCGCTTGTGTTCGAGTATTGACAGTTTGCGCCTTTCCTCTACTGTGTGGAACGGACATGTTCCCGGGAACCATGCACGGCATCACAGATCTTCCGTGCGGTATAAATTTATATTCGTCGTTCACCGGTATTCCTTCCTTCCTCCGTCCGCACACCATTGGTGTCGACCACCGCGCCCAAAATCACGAAAAATGACTCGCCCGGTTGTTTATTAGGAGCAGGGTGAGAAAAACGGTACATTACTCACCCGTCGACATGGGAGAGTATATGATACCCAAGTATCATACAGTAGGTGGAAAGTTAGTGCTTAGTCACCCAACTGGACTGGTTGTCGAGGCGAAATGGGTTTCTCATGCTTTTCGAGGGAGAAACTTCTCCTTTTTTAACCCTTTCAGACCCTAGAGGAAATGATCATCTCTTCATCTTTGAACCAAATAATAAATAACTGTCACTTTCAGCTCTCTACCTCTTCCCTCTTCCCCTCACGGTTGCTGGGGCTACCTCAGTCTTTCTTGCCACACAAACTCCCAATACCACTCGCTTTGTTTTCACTCTGAAAAACTTCTCTAAAACACCGGATTCCTGACACCGCTGTCCCCACCTTTCTGACATGCTCGAAGTCTATGATACTCTTCTTCCTCTAGGGTTTGGGGGAATTGGGCTGGTGCGGGGTCATCAGTGCGATTTGATTTGGGGTTTGGACCTGGGAACCTTTTGGTGGTGGGAGTTGGAGATTCGGGTTTTTTTTCGCCAGCTGTTGGGGTATTAGTGAGCGTGTGGGTGGGAGCACTGATGATCTCGGGGGATGTCGTAGGACGGAGAATTACCTGTGTAAATCCGCCAAACTAGTTAGGGAGTCAAGGAGGTCACTCACACGGCACTGTTCTCCCCTCTCTGCCTTATCTCTGGGCCTTCTCTGGGGTCGACGGTATCATATAATAAGGGCGCCTTTTAGAATAGGGCTGGACGGTTGCTGTGCCCCGGCTGGCCACTGCTGCATGTATCCTACGATAAGGGGGAGGGCTTTGGCTACATACTAGGTTCAGAGAATTCATGTGGCCTACGGATTTGGTTGTTCGAGGTGAGGAGTCTTAGTTGACCCACGAGTGGGGTATTATGGTGGTTTTGTCAACGATAATAATAATTATTATGATAATATTATGATAATAATTATTACTATCATACGCATGTGAGAAGAGAATAGGAGGCTATCGCTCTGGGTAGAGGAGGTAGGGCAGGTTCTGCAGACGGTAGTAGGGTAGGGGTTGACTTTTCTCCGGTGGAGTCCTACGCAAGGGACCGGGTGGGGCGCGATAAACGTGGCCAGATGACGACTCGCGATAATAAAACTATCCCTGGGGGGTCTACAGTAAAGTATTCGAATTCGTAGCGATCCCGTTTTGATTGCATTCGAGTAGCTATTGTGTGATTCGTTGGCACTTGATGGTTGCTGATTAATATCAACCTAAAATAACACCCAGCGACTGACTGATCTGATGGCGAATCCTAACTGGGATATGGTATTACTCGTATACTGCCAGTAACTTACTCGAGTACAGTACTTGTACCCCAGAGTCCATTTCGCCAAGCAGATCAACAGGGACCCTGACCTGCCCACCCCTCATCGGCAGAGCTGACTCCCGGTGAGATGAAGAACCCAGGCGACTGAGGGTGATGATGCAACCATAGACAACGAAAAAATGTGACTTTTTTTTTCCAACGGAGTTCATCCCATTCCGGGAGGGGTGGGGGGGGGGGTTCCTGGACGCTCGACAAATAAATTCTTGAGCAATTAACTCGCTTCAGACCGATCTACTTGTATCCCCCCGGGTTCTTGATAAATTCGCTCCCTTCGTTGACATCTCGGACCTCCCGGCGTTCTGGGAGCGTCGGGGAAGTTACGATACAAAAACCTCCCCGAGGAATATCACGCCGCAGCAATGGCACCGTGAGTTGCTTGGATAGTCGCCTCTCCTGCTGGGTCTCGCCTCTCAGAGAGTAGTTTTTTTTTCAGCCCCACTTATAGCCTTCCCGGATAAATTTCCCATTTATACTATCCCTGCATTTTGGTTCATCCGGGGGCTCCGAGTATGCTCGGGGAGAAGGAAGGTTCCAAGGAGCGCCCAGCGAGGAATAACAGGCTCAGAGAAGGGGATGACCGCCGCGTCTTTAACTGTCTTTGAGTCGTTATTCATGTCGCCTCTTGTGGATGGGTCATGGTTTATCATTCTATTGAAGTCAATGCTCAGTACGGTGGCTGCTATTTTGGAACCAAAGGGAGTTTGCGCCAAGCTCTAACTGCTGTGTTCTACTTGCACGAGTACTTTCTCTTACCCTCGGGGTATCTGATATCTGGTATATCGCACATTTGCAAGCACTACAGTTCTATCTTGCCTGTGCATGCACTTATCGAGTGTTCGTTCTTGGTGTTTGGTGTCGTCCGTTGACAAGCGATCCCGGTAATAAAACTATCCACACCACCCACACTCCACTGCGCAATCGCGATCAAACGGGTTTCTGATGGCGAACACTTCTGTCGGGGTTTCACAAAATAGTGTGCAAAGAAGGGGGAAGATCCATGTTGACGATAGCGGGGGTGGTGAATATTTCACGGGATGAAGGGACAAAATGGGACAATACACGAAACTCCCACCCATATTATGCTGGATTTTGCGATTAGAGCCCCCACCTCCGCTGGGATACTTTGGTATGTCTTGGAGAATACAGTAGTAGGATTTTATGGAATATATGTGCTTGATTCCCAGTCGATTTGGTTTCCGCCATTCACTCGTGGGAACGATCACAGGACGAAAGCGGTTTCTGGGTGGGCGCGGGCTCCCCTGGGAATGAAAGGAACGGGGGCAGTGGCTACGGGGGGGCTAACTTCATGTTTCCCGCAATTGAGATGGCTAGAAGGGACACTCCTCGTTGCGGATCCTCTGGCCGGGAGTATTCCCTGCCATTCGGTAGCTCCCTGGAAAGATCCGAAAAGCTTACCATTAAGTCTCACTCCAAGGCCTACTGAGGGCCGGCGAATCCCACTGTCAGAGTCGCTCTTTTGGTTGTCTTGGTTGGGCCCCCTTCTGATTTTCGTTTCAATCTCCCGGGAGTGCAGTACCGGTATGTCCTTTTTGTCCTTACTTTCCCGTCTTTCGGAGGGTCTTAAGAGCTGTGCGTTTAGCCCCCTTTCCGGAAGAAACTTTGGAATACCCGGACATGGAACAACTATCTGGGCGTTGGTCCTTTAACGGAGGCTTGTAATATCGGCTTTAAATCACCGATTTTGCCTTCATCACCATCATATGCCTGTCAATGCGGTGGATTGAAAGACGAGCTGTCACCCAATGACTCGCTCTTAGAATGGTTTTGCCTATATGTAGTCATCACATTGGTCTAGAGTTTCAGCGACTCTAGAGGGGCGCTCCTTGGGAGCTCCCCAAAAATCCGAAAAACCAGGAAACCATCCAGGAATTCAAGAGTGCTATGGTATTCGGTAGCTTCCCGGGCTAAATATCACACAACCCACCAAGACAAACCCTTAAAAAAACGCCTGCGGGTTTTCTTTCTATCAGAAAGGGGTACTTGTATTTCATGCTCTCGCGGGCCCCAGGGGAGGTGCCTTGGGAGAATGTGCAGAGATTTAGTTGTTTTTACAAATGTCAAGGAATTATGATATGAGTTGGGGGTTGGGTGAGTATTTCCCAAGGTCTAAACGGGTCGATCGGCTCGCAGCAGGCAGCAAGAATATTTTTGAGTGCAAGTGGGTAAACTCCCTCACCGCGAATTTTCCGGACGCTCTAGCACTTTGAAATTGCTTTGAAACCTTACAAGTACCTCTCCGTTCAACACTTATTTTCGCCGCATTCACACACCCTCCCCCCAATTTTCTTGCACTATCGGTATCCGGGCGGGGGGGACATTTTCGGCATTCAATCTGGTCATCTTGTTTCTACCACTAGGACATGCCAGAGCTAATCTGACTGTAGCAGCAGTCCGGTATGCGAGATCCACATCAAAGTGGCCATCCTATGACCTCGATTTCTCACTACCACGTGCTCATACCGGGCGCAAGTTTTTCAAGGTACGCATTCTCTAGTCCTGAGACATCCGGCATTGTCTTGGTCCTGAGATTTTGCCGGATACATTGGACAATCAGCCCTTGCGAAATATCCTCCACGTTAAGGGATCTACAGTATGTCTGCGAATAGCTTGAGGTACGATATGTTTTGCCACCCTGACGCTCCCACGTACCGTACACCCGGTGCATGTTGGCGGAACCCTTTCCGTGATACTGTACTGTACCTGCCAAATGCCAGGGCGCTAGTAGACGTCCGGAGCATCCCTCTTGGTGAACTGAGAATCTTGGGTGCTTGCGGTACAGTACTCGGCTACGTATTCGTCGAGGGCCTCAGCGCCTGTGAGTATGGGCTGCAAGGATATGGAGAGCTGCATCACCTCCACTATTTGGTCCCACACCTCCCCCGAGGCCATGGGAGGCTTGCCTTTCACCATTAAAAGCATTGGTCAGCCCCCATCACAATTTCCAATCTGCAGTCTTCACCGCTCCCACCACGGAACTGGGCAGCCGATGA